CACCTGAGTCCCTGTTAAACAGAGGATGAAAGATCTGTTTCATTCCTCCTTTCAACTAAAACTTGAAAAAACAGGTGGGGCTGATATCATCCCTTGAATTTGAGCAGGCCTGAGACTACCACAGAAGTGATACTGCCAGACTTTCGAAACTGGGTCATAACAGGCAATTCAGTTTCAGCCAGCCTCTCTTTGGGGACACACACTTGGGAGCCCTAAGCAGCAAGTAAGTAATCTGAATCCAACAAAGAATCATGTCACAAAGATCCTGTAAAGAATATACACAGAGCTAGAGAGAAAAGCATCAAAAGGCTTTTACTTTTCTAGCCCATAGATGTTTTCAGTCTTTCTAGCTCAGGCACCAGACTTAACAGATATGCAGGAACTTCAAAACGGTTATAGAAAACATTATTAAAATGTGACTTTAATGTGGAAAAACAACCTGAAATCCCGATATATAAAGGATTCCTCAAAAAAAGAGATGAAAAATATGTGTTACACAAAAACTATGCATACATTCCAAAAATTTTTACATTTGAATAAACACATTTTTCTTTAAATGTTTATTTATGTATTTGAAAGATAGAGAGCAACAAACACAGAAAGATATCCCATCTAATGTCCAAAATATATAGGCCTGGACCAGGCCAAAGACAGGAGCCTGGAACTCCATTCCAGGGTGGCAGGGACACAATTACTTGAGCCACAGTCTACTGTCACCCTGGATGGACATTAACAAGAAGCTGGATCAGAAGCAGAGTAGCCAGGACTTTCTGGTATGGAACACAGGAATTCCAAGCAGCAATTTAAACTTCTACACCAAAATGCCCGTCCCAAAACTATATTTTAATCCCACTTTTTCACAAACCTCTTCAACAACTCTGTACATGAGGTGAGTTAGTAAAGCCTTCCATCCTCATCCTTGAAGACATTCTACAAGTTGACACCAAGTACAACAGAAATGAGCAGACTCCAGTGAGCCTTGCCTAGACTGTAGATTCGTAAGCAAAATAAACTGTCATTTTAAACCACGAGAAAGCCTAAATCAATAGGTAGCCATGATAACCAGGACAATGCTACACATGTATTAACTCAGTTAATGCTTCCAACAACTCTAGGAGTACTACTTACATCTTCATCTTATAAACAGAAACTAAAACACAAAATTTATGTGACCTGCCCAAAGTCAAATCAGTGCAAAAACAGTAATGCCAAACAATTTAACTGCCACACTGCCATAGAGAAACCTGAATGAGGTATTAAGGAACTACTGACGAGCTGCTATTGTAGTGCAGCAGGTTAAGCCACCATGTGCAATACCCACACCCCAAATAAACACTGATCAGAGTCCCGGCTGCTCTACTTTCAATCCAACTCCCTGCCAATGAACCTGGGAAAGGAGAAGACAGCACAAATATTTAGGCCTCTGGACCCACATGGAAGACCCAGATAGAGTTCCTAGGCTCCTGGCTTTGGTCTGGCCCAACTCTGGTCAGTGTGGACATTGGGGAGTGAACCAGCAAAGGGAAAATCAATCTCGATCTCAACCTCAATCTCTCAATCTCTCTCTCTCTCTCATATCTGCCTCTCTGTAACTCTGCCTTTCAAATAAAGTACATCTTTCTTAAAAAAAAAAAAAAAAAGGAACTAATGAAACAGTCTATTATATTCACCAAAATAACTGACACTGTTTTATTTAGTGTGCACACAAACAAAACTTTCTTTTGTACACCTATAGTGCATATACAGAAAAAAATTAACACCTACATAATTGAACTCCTTTGGGCAGTTTTCCTATTAAGATAAACTATTAAATTTAATTCCTACGAGTCAATTAGCTTCATTAAAAAATTAATTCAAGGTCAGTCACAGAAAGCAATATTGTCCTCACGTAAAAATTGTCCCAAATTTCAAACTTGAGCCCCTCAGTGTAACAATGTCAACCCAAAACACAACTTGATATATTCATTCCAGGGATAGAGGGTACTCACTTTTTATTTATCAAGGACAAAGAAGTTATGAAACTGGTCTTAAACAAAATGAATACATTTAGACCACATTAGACTGCTTTAAGGCTGATGGGTTTTACTTTCCAAATTGCTTTAGTTCTGTAGCTTTTAGGTCTTTAAACTCAGAAACAATTAGGAAAAAAGTACAGACAAGCACCTATTTTGTTGTATGTGTTATACACATGTGGTTATAAATTCGTCAAATTTCCCTAAGGTCCTTCCAACTCACTTCAGGTGGAAGGAATTCTGCTCCCCTATGATCCAATTAATTTGTACTGTGAACCACCCATAAATCTCTCAGAGTAAACTCCCAAACCAGGCTAGCCTTGCATACTGTAAAAGCACAGGTCTTTCAGCGACAAATTTAAGTAGGATTCTTTATGCAAGTAAAATATATGGCTTTGTCAACTGAAATAATCATAAAAAATTAATTAGAGGCACACTAAAAATCATTAGACAAAACCAAGATATTATTACTATTACTGTAATTATAAGCTATTATCACTATAATTTAAAAAGCTAAAATGGATTTTTCTAATCAAGAAAAAGACTAGTGTCTATCCCCACAATTATTTCTCTGGATAAAGACAAAAGATTTTTCTCCCCAATACCCAGAAGTGTTGACTAAATTGGCCAAAAGGGACTTTATGCAATAATGATGAAATACAGTCCATGGAAAACAAGTAGGCTACATTCTTTTATCACCATGTACTGTACTGTGCACATCACTTTAAATTTGTTTTCTCATCTCAACTCTATAGCTTTTTCCAATTATTCCACCCACATTTTTCAGCCAGCTTAAGAGATCAGCAAACAATTATCTACAAAAACACTGTTAACACTAGAAACGTTCTATTTCACTACAATCACACAATACGGAGTCATCTTTTACCTCCTTAAAAATATTTCCAGACAAATGTGTATAAGCAGAGATGGAATGTCAAAAACAATCTGCTAACAAAGGATTACTCCCATTTTACAAGGCAATTGTATTTATTTGAAGGGTTTTTAAGTTTAAAAAAAATGATTTTATCAGATGATTTCAGTATACTTGTTTTCAATAAGATCTCAAAAGCCAGGCTGGCGCCATAGCTCACTTGGTTAATCCTCCGCCCGCGGCGCCGGCATCCCATAAGGGCTCTGGTTTCAAGTCCCGGCCTCTTCCAGTCCAGCTCTGCTGGCCCAGGAGTGCAGTGGAGGATGGCCCAAGTGCTTGGGCCCTGCACCCGCATGGGAGACCAGGAGGAAGCTCCTGGCTTCGGATTAGCGCAGCGCCGGCCATAGCACCCACTTGGGGGGGTGAACCAATGGAAGGAAGACTTTATCTATATCTCTACCTGTCAAATAAAAAAAAAAATCTCAAAAGCCATATTCAAGTAAGTAACATACAAAATAATTTTAAACCAAAAACTTGGGGTGAGTGAGTGACACACAGTCAAGTCACCACTGAGTACGCCCACATCCCTATATCAGAGTGCCTAGATCACGTCCTGGCTGCTTCTCTTCTGATCTAGCTTCAGCTTAATGCTCATCATGGGAGGCAGCAGATGCTGGCTCAAGGACTTAGGTTCCTGCCTGGCCCAGCCCAGGCAGTTGTAGGCATTTGGGGAGTGGACTAGTAGATGTATTCTCTCTGCCTGTCAAATAAAATTTAAAGTTTTTTCTTTAACAGTTAATAAAAAAAAAAATCATATTGCTGACTCATCTACTCATTACTTTAAAAAGTACAAAATGGGAATTGGTATGGTGTAGTGAGTAAAGCCGCCTCCTGCAATGCCAGCATCCCATATGGACACCAGTTTGTGTCACAAATGCTCCACTTCCAATTCAGCTCCCTGTCAATGCACCTGGGAAAGCAGCAGAGGATGGCCCAAGTCTTTGGGGCCCTACAACCACATGGGAGACCTCGAAGAGGCTCCTGGCTTCAACCTGGTCCAGCCCTCGCCATGCAGCCCCCTGAGGAGTAAACTAGTGGATGGGAAGTCTCTGTCTTCTCCCTCTCTCTCCATAATGCTTTCAAATAAATAAATAAATCTTTAAAAAATACAAAAATGACAAAAAAAATTATAAAGCAGAAATAGACTAGTAAATGATATTGCTGAAAAATACTAATATCATTCAAAGATCTCGGCGTTTTCTCTAATTTGCAACATTCATATTTCTAGGACATTGAAATACAAATGAAAGCCAGAAAGCAAGACTTGAAAAGTATTGAGATTAAAGAAGTAAAACATCAAAAGATTCTATTCTCCGAAAGACTAAATAGCTACAACACTCCACAACTAACTATTGTATTTCACAGTCTTTAGGAGGGATTTAGGCTACAGTCTAACCTTTCCTCTATTAAAAATGAAGAGGATGGGACCGGCATTGTGGCATAGCAGGATAAGCCAGTATCCATATGGCACCAGTTCAAGAACAGGTTGCTCCACTTCCATTCCAGCTCTCTGTTAATGTGCCTGGGAAAGCAGAAGAGGACGGTCCAAGGGCTTGGGCCCCTGCACCCACATGGCAGACCTGGATATAGTTCCTGGCTTCTAGTTTCAGACTGGCCCAGCCCCGGCCGTTGCAGCCATTTGGGGAGTGTACCAGCAGATGGAAGATCTCTTTCTCTCCCTTTCTCTGTAACTCTTTAAAAAATAATGAAAAAACACGAAGATAAGGCTCGGAAATGTAAATGAGCTCATATACCTAGGTTACTCCACACAAAACAAGCTGACCATTTCTGGGTACTCAAAAGAGTTGAATGCAGGATTTCAGAGACATCTGTACACTCATGTTCATAACAGAATTAAAGCTCAAACTTGGAAGCAATCCAAGCGACCACCAATAAATGAATAAATAAGCAAAATGTGCTATAGATACACAATAGAATTGTATTCAGCCTTAGAAAGGAAATTCTGGCATATTTTAACATGGATGAACCTTGAGGACATGATACTCAATGAAAATGAACCAGTCACAAAAAGACAAAAGCTGTGCAATTCCACTTACATGAGGTACTTAATATAAGAATGGCTCTCTTCGTTTCCTGTAGCCACGCTAACACTGACAAAAAAAGAAAAACACATTGGGTACTTCCACATTCAGTTCAATCCAACCAACTCTTGAGTTACTGAGTACAGACAGTGCATTAGATGAGTGTGATAGGAAGTTCTGGCAATCCAAGAATAAATAAGACAGGATCTTTAATTTTAAAAATATTATAGCCTGGAGGAGACAGAACAAACATGTATTTCAAAACAATCTCATATATATGAAAGAGAAATATGGTGATTTTTGAACCTACAAGAACTCAATCTAAAGTGTCCTTGCTATCCTAGATGGAGCAAGGCTGCAGTGATCAATATCTTGGCTTTGTCCAAAGGACAGAATACATTATCTACTTGACTTAGTACTGGGAGGACTTGCCAAGTTTACAGCAGAATCTTCACATGTGAACTCCAAATTACTTTGTATTTTTGTGTCAAAACTCCCCATTTTTAAGAAAAAGAATCAATCTGAGTTCCAGGAAAATTAAATGATTTGCCAAAGTTCTTGCAGGCAGTTTGACTACAGTATTGATCATTTATTGTCATGAGAATACTCTTTCCACCACGACCCCATACATGAGAAATGTGTAGAGAATGAGAAATAGGAGAATAAAGAACTCTGAATTAAATATAGCCCTTGGCCCTTCATACAGGCCAGCCCTTATTCCTAACACTGAAACTCTGCTCCTCTTTTACAGTTAAGAAAGCAACTTCTGAAAAGCTAAATTATAGTAACCTAAGGCTTTCTGTCCCAAAAGCTCATGCTGTCATTACTCAATGTTCTTTAATTTAGGTATTTTAATGATGGTTGTATCTAGAAAAAAAAAGCAAACTAATGTTCCATTGAAATCCTCAAGGAAAAAAAAAACTGTATTCAGAAATAATATCAAGGTTTCACATACAGCTCCAAGAGAAGGGCTTTCACTTTCCTTTGATTTGGCTTCCAAGGATATGAGTTTTTTGGTCACTGTAACAAATACTGGAGAGCATCTATATATGAAGGAGGTTTATTTCAGCTTACAGTTATGTAGGTTCATAGTCCAAGACAGGATGGCTCCGTTGGTCTCATATCTGACAAAGGCAGGATGGTGGAACTCACCCAAAGGATCACATGGCAATCAAAGAGAGCAGGTAGGCCCAGCTCAGGCTTACATAATTAAGCCTCCTTGAGATTACCTTCCCAGAGCATGACCTCAATGACATAAGGTCTTTCCAGTAGGCCCAACTCCTAAATGCCATAATTGGATCAAGTCTCTTCCATACCCTCAACTTACAGCTTCAGGGACTAAACATCTGCAGTGATGTCCAAACCATAGCACCAAGCATTAAAACTCTCCCTCCCCTCCCCCACACTCTACTCCAGCTTGAATCACTTCAGTTCACACCTGTGCTACTCCTATTATCTAACTAGTCTTCAGTTCCCAAACTTTTCTTCTCTAACTTTACTACATAATAATCTTCCTGCAATATGTGAGTTCCATCATTCATCCAAAACACATTTAAGAAAACCATAAATGTATGCCAGGTACTACTGTGCAGGTACTACAAAGAGAACACCAATCAAGACAGACAAGGCTCCCATTCTCAGACAATACAAAATCTAGCAGAAGACAATTACTCAAATGGTATTAAGGACAAAGAACTTGGAGTACCAGCAGTATGTTTATCAACCAGGAGCAGAGTGTCCCAGAAAACACTTTACACAGGAGTTCAGGAGATGCAAAGAGTGTGATGCAAAAGCCTGTGTTGAAAGAGATGTGTACAACTGTGTCAGCAAAAAGGACCCACTTTAGCCATCAATTCCTACTTCCCAGTTCTAGTGTGAATCCTCAGACCTAGGTAAGAAGTCCCCTCAACATGCTTAGCTCATTCTTGTCTATATATTTCAATCAGGCTTTCTAGAATTCTCTCTTCACCATTCACCTAACACTAAAATGCAGTTCCCGCTCTCTTCCACCCAATCTTTAGTCACTGACTATACAATACTCTCCAGTTCTAACTTTAATAATCTGTGTCACAAGTTACAGGAAACAAAAAAGACAGAAAATAAGGCAATTATTACTTTAGACTTCTCATTAAAAACTAAGTATCTGGGGAGGTACCACCTCATTTCTTTCCTATCACTAAATAGGGCACCATACTAACCATTAATTTTTCTTAAACATACAAACATCACACCTGTCCATGCCTCAAACTGCCCATTTAGTTCTAAGGCCAACAGAATTATTTTACAAATACACTCATAAAAATGAACATGTGGCTGGGGGTGGCTCCATGGCACAGTCAGTTAATCCTCCACCCCTGGCACCGGCATCCCATATGGGCGCTGGTTCGAGTCCCGGCTGCTCTTCTTCCAATCCTGCTCTCTGCTATGGACTGGGAAAGCAGAAGATGGCCCAAGTCCTTGGGCCCCTGCAACCACATGAGAGACCAGGAATAAGCACCTGGCTCCTGACTTCAGATCACCACAGCTCCAGTCATTGCGGCCATTTGGGGAGTGAACCAATGGAGGGAAGACCTCTCTGTCTGTCTCTCCCTCTCTGTCTGTAACTCTACCTCTCAAATAAAATCTTTTAAAAAATGAACATGTGGCTAGATCACTGTAAATTCTTTATCATTACTGGAAAATATATTCCAAAGTTTTTTTTTTTATTAATAACTGATAACTTTACCTACATACATTCTGTTACTAAAAAGAACTTTTAGCCTAGTGATAAAGATGCCTATGTCCTACATCAGAGTGCCTGGGTTCTCCTAGCTTCCTGCTAATGCAGACTTTGGGAGACAGCAGTAATGACTCGGAGTGGGTTCCTTCTACCCACGTGGGAGAGTTCTGGGGTCCCAGTTTTAGCCTAACCCAACTCTAGCTGTTAAGAGCATTTGGAACATGAAAAGGCAGATGGGAGATCTTTCAATCTCTCTCCTCTCCCATCCCCATCATTCAAATAAGTAAATCTTGTCTTAAAAAATCATAGTACAGGTAGATCTGAACTGTATCCTTTGACTCCAGATTACTAGCTCTTTGTACTACAATACTTTCTATAACCCTCCGTCCATAGAACAGAGCCAAAAGGGAGAAGGGGAAAGAACATGAGAATTAAAATGACAAAGAAATTAAAACCAACTTTAAGAAGGCCATGAAAGCATTCATTGTGGCAATGTGAAAGGGTTGTCTCAGGCAACAAAAATTTGAAGTAATGCTGGTGTATCAGAGAATATGACTTAGAGGAAAAATAGGAATCATTTATCTGTGAAGTAAAAATCTATGAAAGGGAAAACCTAGGTATATTTAGGCGGTAAGCGGACAGTGTGGCTTCCTCCTCCCTGCTCTCTCTCGGATCACCTTCTCTGGGGGAAGCTAGCTGCCATACCATGAGGAAACACACACACACATACACACACACACACACACACACACAGCTCTACAAAGACAACTGAGGAGACAACTGAGGCCTCCTGCCCAGATCTACATAAATGAGCCATCCTGGAACAGCACCTCCCATTTCCATCAAGCCTTCACGTGACTGTGGCAACAGCCAACATCTTCACTAAAACTTCACGAACATTGAGGCCTAAGTTTGTCAAATATTGGGGAAATTTGTTACCCAGCCAAATATAACACAACAGAGGCCAGCACTGTGACACAGCAGTGTGCCTGCAACTCTGGCATCCCGTATCAGTGCTGATTTGTGTCCCCCCTGCTCCACTTCAGGTCCAGCTCCCTGCTAACGTACTAGGAAAAGCAGTTGGGGATGGCCTAAGTATTTGGGGCCCTTATTACTCTTGTGGGAGACCCAGAAGCAGCTCCTGGCTCCCTGCCTTCTGCCTGGCCCAGTCCCAGTCATTGCAGCCATCTGGAGAGTAAACCAGAGGACAGACAGAAGATCTCTCTTTCTCTTGTCTCTCCCACTCTCTGCAACTTTTTCAAATAAAAATAATTAAAAATAATGTAACAGGTAGGGTAAGAAATTAACTCTTCACAGACATTTTTTGCTAGGAGTTGTGCCAAAACCCACAACTTGGAATTAGAAATCATAACAGTAATATGCAGGATGAAGTGGGAAGCATTTTTGTCCACTATCTCCCATAATATCCAGTAAAAAGTCCTATACAGAATTAATACCTGTTTTGGGTAGCAACTTAGCTACACACAGGATTCCCTAACTGAACCAACAAAACAGTCTGTTTCTTAAAAGTAAAATGGCTCCTTAGAACCTCTCCATGTAAGTTCAACCTTGAAATCTACAGTTCTACTGTTTTTCTGTTTCAGTTTTAGCAAAGAACACTTCAGAGTACTACAACATGTCATCTATGAAAACTGAGACCCAAACAAAAGCTCTTTTCCCTAAAGTTCATCAAAATGAAGAAGCAGCAGGGAAGGGATCCTGGGGGCTAGCATTTGGCACCGTGGTTAAGACGCTACCTTAGAATGCCCATATCCCATCCCAGATCACAGTGCCTGGATGTGAGGCCAGCCTCAACTTTGTTCCCAGCTTCCTGCTATTTGGTCCCTGCCATCCATGTGGAAGACCCCAGGGAGTTCTGGGCTCCTGGTTTCAGGCTGGCCAAGCATTGGCTTTGTATTTGAAGATACCCCTCCAATCTCACCCTATCTCCATCTTTCTCTGCCTCTCAAATAAAACAAACATCAGAAGAAAAATATATAATACAAAAAAGCAGTATTATACAGAGCAGCTTCAGAGTTCCTAGTGGAAGGGAGTTCCACTATAAAACAGGAACACAAAATATTACATCACACAAAAGTATTTTATCGTTGGGGCTAGTGTTGTGGTGTCATGGTTAAGCCGCCACTTAAGATGCCGCCTCCCATGTGAGCACCACCAGCTTCTGGCTAATGTGCCTGGGAAAGCAGCAAAGATGCCCCCAAGTTTGTGAGCCCCTGCTAGCCACATTGGAGACCCAGATTAAGTTCCAGGCTTCTGGCTTCTGCCTGGCACAGCCCCCTGCCCTTGCAGCCATTTGGAGAGTGAACCAGAGAATGGAAGGTATCTCCCATCTCCCCCCACCCCAACAACTCTGCCTTTCAAATCAATCTTTAAAAAAAGTATTTTATTTTCTGCAACCATAAATATCCTTAAAAAGTCTTGATGATAAACCTCAAGAAACAAGTATTTCTCTGATTTAAATATTTAGCCTCTACACTAGACAAAAATCTGCCCAATCAAACAAATGGGAAACTGGGTAATATAAGTCAGTTTTCCCAATGCCAAAGCAATCTTGCCTATTACCTTAAAATCTGCAACTCACAGGGCTGGGAAGCCAAACACTAATATGCCCTCTCCCATCACCTTCACCCTTACACACAGGCTTTTTCCTTGACACCTGGGTTTATGTAGAAAGGTCAATAAAGTGGATAAAAGTGATCTCAGCTTTTTCAAGATAAGTCATGACATACTCTAGAAAAACGTAAGACAAAGACAAATAACCACAAAATAGAAGCCATCACTAATTCACCTACATAGATAAGAAATTAAGGTAGTATTTTCATGTATAATCTGACTCAACAGATAGGTAATATGCAGACTAAAAAACTTTATAGGCATTATTAAGTCCTAAAACTCTATAAAAATTTACTACCTGGAATTTGAAACCATGTCATATTTTCTTGACATCAATAAAGGAGGATGCTCTGTACAACCGTGGCATTCTCAAATACTCAACAAGTATTTAACTTTTTAATATTTTAAAGAGTTATTTATTTAATTTAAAAGGCAGAGAGTCATAGTCATGGGGAGGGAGGGGGTCTTTCATCCGCTGGTTCACTCTCCAAATGGCTGCAACGACCAGAGCTGGGCCAAACTGAAGCTAGGAGCCAGGAGTTTCTTATGGGTCTCCCACACAGGTGCAGGGGCCCAAGGACTTGGGCCATCTTCTACTGCTTTCCCAGGCCAAAGCAGAGAGCTGGATCAGAAGTGGAGCAGCCAGGACGCAAACCAGCGCCCATATGGAATGCCTGCAACACAGGCAGCAGCTGGCTTTACCCATGATGCCACAGCACAGGCCCCATTAACCTTTTTTAATTTTTTAAAGGTTATTTTCACTTCATTTGAAAGGCAGCAAAACAAGGGCAAAAGGTGATGGATCTTCCATCCTACAGTTCACTCGCCCAAATGGCCAAAATAACCAGTCCTGGACCAGGCTGAAGCCTGCAGGGATCCAAGTACTTGAACCATCATCTGCAGTCTCCCACAATGCACGTAAGCAGAAAGCTGGATGAGGGGCTGAGCAGCTGTGATTAGAATACAGGCACTCCACTATGCCATGTGCGAATCTTAACTACCAGACCAAATGCCCACCCCTCTTAAACTCTTTAAGTGACAGATATAATATTGGAAAACAAATAAAAAGGAAATGATGGTTTAAAACACATTTTTGAAACTTTTTCAAAGTTAATTAGTCTAGGAAATTGGCCTGCAACATGTTAACTTTTTAAAAGTACTTAAAGCTTAAGTTGAACCTCAAAGAAGAAAAGCTAGATTTTAATGGTCTCACACAGCTAAATATTTCTCCCAAAAAAAATTCTACCTGTATTATAACCAACGTAGAAGTAAAATTGCATAACAATTTTAAGATTTTCTAAATTTACTAAAATAAACTTGCTTACAAACTTACACTGGTTTTGAATAACTTTCTCCTGGGGACAATGAGCAACTTTTTTGTGCCAAGTGTCATTCAATTTTATAAATCAGTTCCTTTTCATCACCCAACACTTCTAATACATGTTTGTAAATGACAAAGGTCACAAACTACTATCTAATTTTGTATTTAATCATTTTTAAAAGTAGTACTAAAAATAAAAAACACTTAGCTATGATTTCAACAAATTTTAAACCGTATCAGATAAATTCAAAAGTACAATATTATCTCAAAATGACAGAAAAACTAAATATGCATTCTAACGGTTTTGATAATGGAATTACTTTAACAAAAATACCTCAAATTTTTTAAAAAGCAACTTAAAACTAAAATATTCTATCAGTCACAAAAATAGACTTCCTACTATGAAAGCAACCTGTCAAATCAACAAACACTGCTGTAATCTCAAGGATAGTTTATAAAAATTATGGAGCCTTTCCAAACTTAAAATAACAGGGGAAAAAATTAAAGCTTGTTAACAAGGAAGTTATTTCAGAATTGAGATTATGAAGACAACAAAGCAGTTTCATAAGCAAGGCTTTCATACAGCTGACAATATCACCCTGAAACACAATTACTACATTCTGTAATCTCAAGAAAACCAATACGCTTATTTGGACCTATGAGACCAGTTTCTTAACTCCTTACTCTCAGAATTCTTGTATGATGAAAAATTACATCAAGTTCGAGTAAGTATAATAAATAGCAAATGAAGCCAAAACTCCACATCTTGAAATATTACTTGATCAATAATTCATGGTCTCCTGAAGGGATGTAGTGGACAGACTGTTAACTAAAGCAAAACAAAACTCTGACACACAACACTTGTTATTTAAGGTGAATTATCCTAATGCTTGTGAAATGAAAATCACAAGGGACTTGAGAACATGTGTTCAGATCCAGCTCCACCATTTCCACCTTACATTTACTCTTCTGAGTAAATCATTCAAGTTGCTTCTACATCTGTTAAATAGTAGTCAAAAATAACACCTATCCTAAGAAATTTTGAGAATGAAAGGAAGACATTTAAACCACGCACTGTTAGGCAGGCATGTGCCCGTGTGTACACTGGATTAGATGCTCACTGTATAAACTTAACACAAACTTTAAAATACACATTGATACTAATGGAAGAGGATATAGGAAAACAATAAATGGCAGATTCCTCACGGTTCAGTTTGCATCAACTGTTAAATTTTTATTAAAGATGTCCTCCTTCCTACCCATACCTATACAGTTCAGCACAATTTTCCTAAGGTCTGTGCAGTCTATTTTACTCCAGCCAGGATATTTTTCTAACTAGATGCTAAAAACAGAATTTAAGATTAATGTTCAACATATTCCAGCTCTTGTATTCCTAGAAGCATATAAATTTAAGTGTTCACTTTCATCAATTAAGAACCAAAATTCCTAAAACTTTAGAAAGAGCTTTTAAATCAAAATCACTACTGACTTAAAATTTCTGCGTGTCAAAACATTAGCATGGTCAAAATAATTACTATTCTACTTTAGAAGCAATATAAGCAAAAAGTGAGTTCCAAAAAAAGTACATCAAAACCCAACTAAAGTTTTCCAGAGATCGAAAATAAAGGTAGCAACAATCGAAAAATAAACTGAAATAAATTCCTTAAATGTCCCTAAAAAAGGGGGGGCATATTGTTGTTAAGTCTCTAACGATCTTTAGGAAAGTAACACTAATTCCTTCAGAGACCTCCCCGATACAAGACTTTAAATATCTAAAAATCACTGCATTGCTACATAATTAAGATTTTAAGCCACACACTAATGCTGTACCGCTGATTCCAACTCTCTAATTCTGCAAAGTTATTTTAAAGGAAATCAATCCACTACTCTTTCCCACAATGATTTTATACTTGTTTTAAACTTTTTCCCCGGTTTGATAACAAAACAAACAGGAGAAAAGACTAAAAT